AAGAAATTAAATTGGTGTGGCCTTAGAAACATAGAGATAGTCATAAAATTGCATCATCACTCCTGTAGGGGTGATATGTCAACATGTGTTGAGGCCACAGTAAGGTATTGTAGGGATTGGAATCAAATTTAACATGGTCTTCCTTAAACAAAGCTCAGTCTTGGACCCTTAAAAGCTGCAGTGCAATATCAGGGTGGCATGCGCAATAAAAAACAAATGTTCATATCGTACTGTCATACTTAGTATTGAAGTGTTTGAAATATCCAAGGAACATGCTATGTGGCATGAGGAGTTGATTGTTTTTTTTATACCACCAATAAATAGCTAGAACCAGCCTCCAAGTCAAAACAATCAAGGATTTTCCATCAGCGACATCATATTTTTGCCTCATTTTTCTCAGATCAGTATGCTAATAATCGCTATGAGACTAGGGTTGATTCAACTTACAACATGAAAAATGTCCAGAATATTGACTTTAAAAAATGTTTTACTTCAGCCCTGAAGTTGTTTTGGGTGCCGTGGACTGTGACTCAACCTAACTCAACTACCAGTAACTTAATTGCCTAACTCAGTAACCACAATGGAGCATTGGTAGCTAAATGGCTCCTGTGGTGCGCTAAAAGGTTAATGGATAATTTAATGTCTTTTATGTTTGCTTGTACTTCAGTTCTGTTCAGTTAGGGAATTAATGAGTGAACTACAAAGGTGTCACATCCACTGCCACATCCATAACTACTCACAGTAAAACCAACCAAAATATCAATAATTATAGTACGTGGCCTGGTGATAGATTTGAATTATACATTTCCATGTCAGACAAAATGTAAAAATAAATTTCAGATAATACATAATATTATTGGAAAAGGTCACTGTATTTCCTGGTTGAAACAAATTCCTGCTTTGTGCACATCTGTTGTCCTTTTGGGAGCCTGGGTGAGAAAATGCAAACTGAGACATATTCAACATGATATTGACGAAAATGCAGTTACATGTACATGTGCAAGATGTACATGTAACTTGCTAAGTACCTAATACCAGCCCAGAAGAAAACAAGAAATAGCCATGCCTTCAAGTACCAGAGTTATCAACCAAGGATTGAGGTGTTCAAGAATTCATTCTTTCCTAGAACTATTGCAGAGTGGAACTCACTGTCACCAAGTTCAGTAGGGGCATTGTCAATAGATAGCTTTAAATCAAGTCTAGAGCTAGAAGTTCAAGGGTTAGGTGTAACAAGTCGATCAGTGTAATATAGCCAGCTGCCGCCACGCCGCATGCCTGCGAAGCTGGTGTGTTACGCTGAAAGGCGGTTATACCGGCTATACAGATACAGATGCAAAGATTGGGTGTAACAGATCATTCGGTGTAATATAGCTAGCTGCCGCTGTGCTGCGTGCCTGTGAAGCTAGTGTGTTACACCGAAGGGCAGTTATACAGGCTATACTGATACAGATATAGAAATGAGTAAATAAGAAATTACATGTAACATCTGTGTCCATAATATCGCCACCTTGAGAAACAGTGTGCTTAAAGATATTTTTACTCCAACATACTTTTGGTATTCACTCCTTCACACATCAAATATACATACCTAGGGTATGTTGCAGTAAAAATATCTTTAAGCACACTATTTCTCAAGGTGGCGATATTATGGATCCTGGTGATATTATGGACACAGATGTTATCAAAAACCCAAAAAATTTTATAGAGGTTTGAGATCTTTGATTTCTTGTTTCCTCAGCCTGAAGGAGGCAGGAACCTGGCGGAGCATGAACTTACGGTGGAGAACATCTGGGAGAAGATGATGCTCTCATTCAAGAGAAATGTACATGTCACCACCAAGTTTGCCAAGAAGATTCCAGGTGATTATCATAACAGGGTTAGATAGACCCGGTGTACAGAAAGTGCGAAATGGAACGAAATGAAACGAAATGGAACGAAATGAAACAAAATGTGTATGAAGGAAAGCCGTTAAGCCGTTCGTACGTTGGAACGGCGACGTCAGTGTCCGCTCGACGTCCAAAAGGCAACGTTAATATTGATGGTATTCTAAGAACCGCAACGTTATAAGATCGATCAGGGTACGTTAAGAATAAAGTGACCGCAATGTTCCATTTCGTTCCATTTCGCACTTTCTGGGGTCCCGATAGACCGGTACTCATTTTTCTCAGGTTGCCGACTATATACAGGTACATTATGTAGCTACAAGTCTTGGAGCCTGGTTGCCTCGTAGGATGTGATCTTTCTTTTCTTTTTTTGAAAACAAGTGAAAATCAATGCATGCGCGGATGGCATCCTTAGAATTGAATCAGCGTGGCCTAATTCACTTTGCACAGTTTCATCCTTTGCAGATATAAAATCAGTTACATGTATTTATGTTCACGTCTTTATTAGTCTTTCTTTTCCTTACGTTTACATGTATAATTTTATGTGTACTACCTACCTGGTCACAATTGTGACTAAGGCTACACCAAGTAAATTTTATGGATGACGTCCTTTGGAGACCCTAAATCTAATGCGAGAGGGCGAAAAAAAAAACAAGAAGGGCCCTAAAAAACAAGATGCCTAGATTGGAAATATACTAAGAGACGACGAATGTTAGGACATAAATTGAATGAGGTGACACAGTGTAACAAGCAAGAAGTCTTTTATTCATCATCAAAACAGCAATAAATCAGGTGGAACAGTGGACAGTGAAAAATTTTCTGTTATTGACAGGATGGTCCTGTCAATAGTGCAAATTTTCTGTTATTGATATACACTTTCAATATATACCAATAGACACTTTCTTCGCGTTACGAGTTTCACATCAATCTGGTGATTTGCGGCACTGTCGTGACTCTTTGGTCATAGTTACAGGAAGCGGAATTTCTTGTTTTTTTTTTTCTAGGAACAGGCCAAAATCAATGCGCGCGCGGACGTCATCCATAAAATTTACTTGGTGTGGCCTAACCCATACACAACCTGCTAATGTTAATCCCAGCAATCGGGGGCAGAGCAGAAATGAAGAAGTCAAGTCAAGTCAAGTCAATCTTTATTGCACAACAATTGTAACGGGTACAATGCATAGCAAACTCTTCGGTACTACATATCTAGCTAACATCTACTTACGTCTACAGTGATACCTACAAGTTCAATGTATCAAAAACAATTATAATACTATTTCAAAAAGGTAATATAGTACATGTATATATATGGAACATGGCTTACATGATAATGTACATGTCTTGAGTTCTATATATGACTGTATAAACTAGAGTGTACATCAGTTGGTTGAATCGGATAGAAGTACAGTACGTGATCCAGATCTCCGTGTTTGTTTTCTACCCTGTAGGATTCCGTACTTGCTCGATCGACGACCAGATCAGCATGATCCAAGGAGCGGCCTTCCCCATCAACTCCTGCATACTGGCCCTGGACTACAACCCTGTCACTAACGAGATGAACTACTTCAACATGACGGAGATGG